GACTTTTGAGGTTAGACTAAATGCATTTTGCATTATGATATTGCCATAAGCTTATGGGGGCCAGGGAGTGGAATGTGATAGTTTGAATGTAACTGGCCCCCATAAGCTCATAGGGAGTGGTACTATTAGGAGATATGGCTTTGTTGGAGTAGGTGTGGCCTTGTTGGAGGAAGAGTGTCACTGTTGGGGTGGGCTCTGAGCTCTCATATATGTTCAATACAACCCAGTGAGACACACCACTTCCTGTTGCCTTCTGATCAAGATGTAGCCAGCAACATATCTGCCTGCACACCACCATGCTCCCTGCACATCACATACTCCCCATCATGATGATAACAGACTAAACCTCTGAAACTGTAAGCTGCCACCTCAACTACATATTTCTTTTATAAGAGTTGCCATGGTCATGGTGTCTCTTCACAGCAATAGAAACCCTAAGACAGCTGTAAAGAAAAACTAGATCGCCGGGCGTGGTGGCGCACGCCTTTAATCCCAGCACTCGGGAGGCAGAGGCAGGCGGATCTTTGTGAGTTCGAGGCCAGCCTGGGCTACCAAGTGAGCTCCAGGAAAGGCGCAAAGCTACACAGAGAAACCCTGTCTCGAAAAAACCAAAAAAAAAAAAAAAAAAAAAAAGAAAAACTAGATCATGAAATTTGCAGGTAAATGAATGGAACCAGAAAAAAAAATGATACAAAGTGAGGTCTCCTAGGCTCTGCATACCCTCTCTCATATGAGAGTCCTAGCTTCAAAAATGTTCTTGCTTAAGACAGAGTTTCTCTCTGTAGCCCTGGCTGTCCTGAAACTCACTCTGTAGAACAGGCTGGCCTCGAACTCAAGAGATCTGCCTCCCTCTACTTCCCAAATGCTAGGATTAAAGGTATGCACCACTATCACCTGGCCAAACTTTCTGTTTTGTATGTTTAACAGGAAGCATACACAGAAGCTGGGAAACTAGAAATGAGCCACTTGGTTGAGGGGGACACACGGGGATGCAGTGAAATATACGTGACATTAAAGTAGTGAGGGGGATACTAACAACAAGAGTTCAAGCAGATAATGCAATGCCAGTGACGGGGAGTGAGGGGCCAAAAGAGACATAACTAAAATAAAGTGTGCATGAAGGATCACTTGGGACCCTGTGATCTTGCACCCAAATAAAAATATATTATGTAACACAAGGTGGATAATACAGCATATGTTATGTGATAGAACAGAGGAGAATATGGAAGGTAAAGCTCCAAGCAGTGATGAGGACAGGAATGGAGAAAAGAATAAGGAGTAGGTCAGCGAGAGCTAAGAATACACAAAGAAGCCTTCTGAAACCCCACTGGTTTATAAACTAATTTTAAAAACATTTCTTAAAAACAAGTTTGATGACCAAGGGTACCCCACATAATGAGCAATGCTACTCCCAGAAGACAAGGGTTATTAAACAAAAATCTCAGTGCTGGACAGATACTGTACTGGTTAGTTTTTTGTCAACTTTACAAACTGGGGTCCAAGAACCTCAAAATTGAGAAAATGCTTCCGTCAGACTGGCCTATAGGCAAAAATCTGTGAGGCATTTTCTTGATTAATGATTGATGTGAGAGATCCCAAGGCACTGCAGGTGGGATCATGCCTGGATAGGTGGTCTTGAGTTGTAAAAAATAAAAAAAAAAAAATAAGCTGAGTAAGTCATGGAGAGCAAGCCAGTAAGCAGCACTCCTCCATAATTTCTATTTCAGTTCCTGCCTCCAGGTTCCCACTCGGCTTGAGTTCCTGCCTTGGCTTCCCTCAGTCCTGGACTGTGATCTGGGCATGTGAGCCAAATAAAATCTTCCTTTCCCAGCTGCCTTCAGTGTTTATCACAGCAATAGAAAGCAAATAAGAAATCTCCCAACAAGTTACTGGTCAAAGAAGCTCCAAAGGTACCCAGCTACTGTCACTGGATAGAACTAGATGTGAAGACCCTACTGCTGAAGATATCACACACTTTGGTTGCAGAACACAGAGAAATCCATGTTGAAATGACCAGGTAACTCTCATTGATGGCTAGATTTCCTAGTGCGAGAAGGTACAATACAGGCTGCTGGGGGAGAAAAGACCTGGGATAGGTCGTGAGTACTTAGAATGATCAGCTGGTACGTACTAGAATACAAAATTTGAGCAAAACTTCCAAGCTCCAAAACAGAAATAACAGCAAAACAAAACTTCAGGAAAGAATTTCCTTGGGAGTCCAACTCCAAATTGGCACAGATGAGAGACTCTCCTACAGCAGGTATCTAAAAACTCCCCAGTCCCACCTCTGGAGAGACTCCAGATCCATGAAAGAGAATCATCTACCTTCTGCTTTGATTTTGCCAGGGCAAGGAACTTACTGGCTCACCAAACATGCTTATGATCTCAGTATTCAAAATCGTTTAACCACTGAGAGCCCAATCTGCCTTCCTGCAGGTTTACTTCTTACATCAAAGCAACCCTAAAGAAACACACCAGACTTTTCATAAGAGCTCTTCATATATATTTCTATGCTGCTTAATATTTGAACACACATTTGAATAGTTGAAAGGATTCAAACATATTAAATGTGCAGCTTCAAGCAATGATTAAAGGAAAATAAATGAAAACTCTGTCCTGAGACTAACATATACAGAGTGTGATCCTAGAGAAGGCAAGAAATTCAGTTAAGAGCCAGTGAGACAGTTCAACAAGTAAAGTACTTGCCACACAAAGCTGGTGACCTGAGTTTGAAACCCTGAAGCCACATAGAGGTGACAGAATACTGACTCCCCAAAGTTTTCTTTTGACCTCTGCAAACATGCTCCGACAAATAGTAATGAATAGGCTTTTTTAAAAGGAAAAAAAGAAATCTTGGTTAAGAAGTACTTCTTAAGCTAAACATTGTGGTGATATTTTATTTGTGTTAAAATGTGATTAAAAGTAGATTCAATAACCTACCTTTTATCTATATCATATCTATATCCTCTCTTTACTTTTCAGAGTACATTCACTAACCTACCCTCTACTCTATCGTTTCTATTTCCTGTATTTCCGTATCAAACATAATGGAACATGGCTGTAATTCCAGCTGCTAGGAAGGCTGAAGCAGAAGCACCCCAGGTTTGAGGGCTAACTAGACTACATAAAAGTCCATGACCAGCCTGGGCACCCATGTGGGACCCTATCTCAATACAGAAATAGAATAGGGAGTCAGGGGTGATAGCACAAACCTTTAATCCTAGCAAGTGGGAGGCTCAGACAGGCAGATTTCTGTAAATCTGAGGCCAGCCTGGTCTATATAGTAAGTTCTAAGCCAGCCAAGGATACATAGAATATTCCCTACCAAAATAAATAAACACACACACACACACACACACACACACACACACACACACACACACACACACACACAAAGAATAAAGCTACCAATGATAGATGATAGTTTGACTCTTATTTTGGAGACAATGGTTTGAAATATCTACCACCAAGGAATTTTTTGAAACACTAAAATCTTCCATTTTTTTTTTTTTACAGTATTTCATAGACTCTTCCAAATTAAAGGCTTTTGAACTAGGAAAGGTTGAAATCAGCAGGAGTCAGATGTGGATGCCACTTGTGAACTATGAGTCCTTACCTCATTAAGACTCGCTTTTTATGTCTGAAAAATTGGTATTAAAAGGTAGAGGAAAGCCAGGCAGTGGTAGCACATGCCTTTAATGTCTGCACTTGGGAGGCAGAGACAGGTAGATTTCTGAGTTTGAGGCCAGCCTGGTCTACAAAAAGTGAGTTCCAGGACAGACAGATATACAGAGAAAAACAGTCTCAAACAGCACCTTCCACCACCCCCAAAAAAAATAAGGTAGAGAACTGTGGTGGTCTGAATAGGAATGGCCCCCATAGACTCATGTGTTTGAATACTTGGCCCACAGGGAGTGGCACTTCTAGTGGGTGTGGCCTTGTTAGAGTAGGTATGGCCTTGTTGGAGGAAGTGTGTCACTGTGGAGGTGGGTTTTGAGGTCTCACATGCTAGGCCCAATGTGACAGCCTCTCCTGCTGCCTGCAGATCAAGATGTGGAACTCTCAGCTCCTTCTCCAACACCATGTCTGCCTGCATGCTACCATGCTTCTCGCCATAATAATGGACTAAAGCTCTGAAAATGTAAGCCAACCCAATTAAATGCTTCCTTTATAAGAGTTGCCTTGGTCATGGTGTCTCTCCACAGCAACAGAAACCCTAACTAAGACAAGAAGAAAGCTCAGTCAGTGATGTACATGCCATACAAACATGAAGACCTGAGTTGAGATCTGTAACTCCAGCTCTCGGGGAACATAGGCAGGTGGATCTCTGGAGCTCACTGACCAACCAGTCTAGCTGAATTGGAGAGCTCCAGGTTCAGTGGGAGACTCAGCCTCAAACTGTAATAATAATGATAATAATATGGAGAGCAGCTGAGGAAGACACTCCATGTCAGCCTCCAGCTTCCAAATGCACATGCACAGGTGCACACACACAAACATATGTATACTCATATCATACACATAGAAAAAAAACAGGATAAATAAAAGGTAGCTACCTGATAGGGTGTTAGATTAGTTAAATTAAATTATTTGGTGGCTATGTACATGGTGAACCAAAATGCACATTTCCCACTAGTTGTAATTACTACTACTACTATTATTTCTGCAGTTCAAAGAAATCCTAAGCATTATCTCCCAATGTGGCTTATAAATTAAGGTGTTTAAGACATGGCTATATTAATTTTAAAAAGACAAGAGCATTGATATGCCTTTCTAGTGTATAAATATGTTTCTGGAACTGCTTAGAACACTTCATAGCAAGACAGCATCCCCATATTTGCCTACAAGGGCATCTGCCTATGTCTTATGAAGACCTTTTTTCTCCTGTCTGCCACAGACATTAATAGCAGCTTTATATTAGTATATAAAGTGCCACATATTCAAACTCAGCAATCATAAAACCTTCACACAAATTTAGAATTTTACACTAAGATACTTACAAATTCAGTTTTGTTAAGCTTTCTTGTGCATTATGTTTTTCTCGTTCATATGCACTTTCAACTTCTTTAAATTCATTCTTAATCATTTCCAGATCAGCAACAGCCTCTGCTTGGCTGGCTTTTTCTACTTGTAAAGCTCCTTCAAGGTCTCGAATCCGTAACTACCAGATAACAGAGAAGTAATTTTAAAAAGCTAAGAAATGTGTATCCATCTTAAATTGAATAGACTATCTTATCAACAACAGATTATCATTTGTCTAAATATTTCTTTCTTTCTGTTTTGGTTTAAAAAGAAAATAAACAAGCTGGTCTCAAACCCCAGATCCTCCTGCCTCTGCCTCATTCAGCAAATCCTACCAACCTGTGCCTACATACATACAAGAAACATTATATGGACTCAATAGGTTATACACAGGAATGCACCCCTGGAGGTTTGTTTACTGTTGAAGAACCTTTATAGCCAAACAACATTATGTGACTGAAATACTCATGGTGATGACTTGATAGCTTGGATTTCCTTCCTACAGCCTGGAAGTGGGACAGTGTAGGAAATAACTACGAAACACAACTGGCTTGAGGTAGGTTTAAAGCTGGGTGACGGGTGTACTGGGAGTTGATTTTAATAATCTGTCGACTTTTGAGTATATTTGAAATTCTGCATTATCAACATCTTAAAATTAGATGCCTTGTGTCTACCAACAAGAGAATAAACACACAAAGTGCATTCTCTCAAAACAATGATATATAGCTCTTCAATAGCTATATACCACTTCAAGGAGAGCCTGTAATATTCTCTGTGGGATGTTACAGAATAATGTATTGCTCATACATCCTGAAGATAGCAAAGTCTAGACCAGTATACACAGGATGCTGAACCTCTGTTTGGTTGAAAAACAGTGAAAAGAACAAGAATAAGCAGACAAGGGGGGAACAAAATACTCTGCAAAGTGTCAAATGCTAATACTTCATCTTTTTCAAGATGCTGCAATTTGGCTCTTGAATCCAAGTGTCAAAAGCCTAGTGCCCAGAACAGCACTATGAGGTAGTACAACAGACCCTCAGAAGGTGGGACCACATGGTAGGTCCTTCCATGGACAAGAATGTGGCCACAAAGTAGACTGTGGGACACTGCTTCGTCCTCTCTCTTGCTTTGCTTCCTGGTTCATGAAGTGAGAGGTGAGTGTACTCCCACCAGACAACCAAAGAAATGGGGCCACTCAATCATGGACTTAAGAAGCATGAGCCCAATAAAACCTTATCTCTTTAGAGTTAAGGTTCCTAGGTTAGGTTGTCTCATGTATTCCATTAGAGTCACAGAAAGCCGACTGATAGTGACACAAGCCATTGGGTCTCTGTCACAAACACTACAAATGCACCCACAGATGAGACAAGACTTAAGAGCAGACAGTGGTGATATTCTGGTCTGAGGCTACAGAGTGCCAACATCTCCCCTAATAGAGCACCCGAAAGTGTACCTTACCCTAAATACAGTGAGTGTCAGAGCACTGGTCATCATTCCCAACACGCGCCTTAGCTTCCTAGCAGTTACAACCTGAGAAATTCTTGCCAAAAAATACGTTTGCATCTTACCTGAATAATTTCAGAATTAAATTTTGATTCCAAATGTGCTGCTCTTTCTGCTTCAATGTTCTCTTCTAACTTCCTCACTCTTAGAGTAGTTGCCTAAAAACAAGTCAAGTTTAAACACATAAACATTGGCATTAAAAGTACATAGAAAACACTAATCATGGAATTGTGACTTTAGATGACCTCGGCTGTGCAGCCAGGATGGCTTAGAACCCATGATCATCTTGCTTCAGCATCCCAAGTCCTATTACAGGTATATCCCACTGTACCTGTCTAGTCCCGTTCTCATACTTTGCAGGTGGGGACTGTGAAAACAATGCCCAAAAAGAATGTTCCAACTCCTTGTTTTTCTTTTTTAATCTTACTGAGGTACAGTTTACATGTAGTTAATTAGGAAGTAACGGACTTCTGGCACACATGTCCATGGCAGCTGTTATAATAGTACAGAGTACAGACTTACACGTCTGCTTTGTTCCATGGTCCTTCCTAGACACACTCCTGGTGCTCTCATACCAAGAAGTCATTCTGCTTAGGGATTTCATCATTCTGCGTTTCACAAGCACACAACTCACAAGGCACTTTTGTACACTGTACTATTTGATTTATTTAGATTTTACAACCTTATCAGTATTTTTTTTTCTTGACACAGTCTCACAGTGTAGCCACAGCTGGACTAGAATTCATAGCTATGTGTCTGCCCCAGCCTCCCATGTGCTGAGATTAAATGCATGTCTAGCATGCCCAGTCCTTTCAATTTTATTTAAGATGTATTTTCATTACTTTAAATTGTGTGTAGGAGGGGATGTAGGTGCATGTGAATGCAGTGCCTGTGGTGGACAAAGGTCCTGGATCCCCTTAGAGCTTGAGTTATAGGCAACTGTGAGTCACCCAACATTGGTGCAAGGAATCAAACTTAGGTCTTCTACAAGGGCGGTCAATGTTCTTAACTGCTGAGCCACCTCTCTACCACCACCACCACTACCACCACCACCACCACCACCACCACCCCCCCCCGTCAATATTTCTTAACAATCTATTACATTAGGAAATAGTTCCCAGAGGCTGACAGCAGTAATTCCAAATTTGAAAACTAAAGGTGATTGAAATCAAAAAGATAAAATAATACCTTGTATAACTGTGGTAGTTTGAATGAAATTGGCCTCATAGGCTCACGGGCAGTGGCAATATTGGGAGGTGTGACCTTATTGGAGTTAAGTGTGGCTCTGTTGGAGGAAGTGTGTCACTGAGGGTGGGCTTTGAGGTCTCAGATGCACAAGCCTGGCCAGTGTATCTCAGTCTCTTCCTGCTGCCTGTGGATCAAGATGTAGAACTCTCAGCTCCTTCTCCAGCACCATGTCTGCCTGTATGCTACCATCCTTCCTGTCATGACAATAATGGACTAAACCTTTTTTTTTTT